TTCCCAATTCCTAACGTTTTAAAAAACATTAGGCAACCATCTACACCTGGCGCTTTACCTAAACTTGCACCAGACAAAGCGTGCTAAATCTCACTTTCCGTGATTGGACCTTCTAATGTTACCCTATCTATACCATCAATCTCACATTGCACGAAACCTCCCATTTCCTTTAAAGCCTCATCTCGAATATCTCCGTTTTGTGCATATGACCTAAACCATGCATCTAGATAACCACTCATTACCCTCTGTCGTCACTAAAACCTGCCCCTCTATAAACCCCTTCATCCCAATGAACATTAATCCCATCATCCCGTCCATCTCTTTCTCTTATGCTGTCTCTCAACACAGCCGAAGGCCTGTATCCCCTAACACCTCTTCCACCCACCCAAACTCGCGCGCCATCCTTTCATTTTGCAAATCCTGTATGCTCCTTATCCCTCAATATCGTCCCCCGGATAACTAGCCTCCCACCTCGTAGCAAGCTCTCAACTGCCCCTCAAGATAAGATTGGTACCCATACTTCAATCTGTTATATTCCCTCCCACTACGAATATAAAATTCCTTAATACGAGATTTCGCCACAGAGTCCCACCAACTAACCAGTGCACTATTCCCAGGCGCCTCCACCACCAACTCCTCCCACAATTGAACAAATGACTGTCGAGACTCTTCTTCCTGCAACAACTTTACATTCAACTTACAAAACCCCTTACACCTTCTTGGCAACCCCTCCCAACCTATATCCACCAAAACACCCCTGTGATCAGAAAATACTACGTCCATTACCTGGAGTTTACCTGGAGAGAGTTCCGGGGGTCAACGCCCCCGCGGCCCGGTCTGTGACCAGGCCTCCTGGTGGATCAGAGCCTGATCAACCAGGCCGTTGCTGCTGGCTGCACGCAAACCAACGTACGAGCCACAGCCCGGCTGGTCAGGAACCGACTTTAGGTGCTTGTCCAGTGCCAGCTTGAAGACTGCCAGGGGTCTGTTGGTAATCCCCCTTATGTATGCTGGGAGGCAGTTGAACAGTCTCGGGCCCCTGACACTTATTGTATGGTCTCTTAAAGTGCTAGTGACACCCCTGCTTTTCATTGGGGGGATGTTGCATCGTCTGCCAAGTCTTTTGCTTTCGTAGTGAGTGATTTTCGTTTGCAAGTTCGGTACTAGTCCCTCTAGGATTTTCCAGGTGTATATAATCATGTATCTCTCCCGCCTGCGTTCCAGGGAATACAGGTTCAGGAACCTATCTAGCCTAGACAGGACTCGCAGCAATGGTTTTAAGTTGGAAAAATTCAGATTCAGGAAGGATATAGGAAAGTACTGGTTTGGTAATAGAGTTGTGGATGAGTGGAACAAACTCCCAAGTACCGTTATAGAGGCCAGAACGTTGTGTAGCTTTAAAAATAGGTTGGATAAATACATGAGTAGATGTGGGTGGGTGTGAGTTAGACCTGATAGCTTGTGCTACCAGGTCGGTTGCCGTGTTCCTCCCTTAAGTCAATGTGACCTGACCTGACTAGGTTGGGTGCATTGGCTTAAGCCGGTAGGAGATTTGGACCTGCCTCGCATGGGCCAGTAGGCCTTCTGCAGTGTTCCTTTGTTCTTATGTTCTTATGTTCTAACCTCAAGCGCTCCCAGTAATTGAGGTGTTTTATCTCCGTTATGCGCGCCGTGAAGGTTCTCTGTACATTTTCTAGGTCAGCAATTTCACCTGCCTTGAAAGGTGCTGTTAGTGTGCAGCAATATTCCAGCCTAGATAGAACAAGTGACCTGAAGAGTGTCATCATGGGCTTGGCCTCCCTAGTTTTGAAGGTTCTCATTATCCATCCTGTCATTTTTCTAGCAGATGCGATTGATACAATGTTATGGTCCTTGAAGGTGAGATCCTCCGACATGATCATTCCCAGGTCTTTGACGTTGGTGTTTCGCTCTATTTTGTGGCCAGAATTTGTTTTGTACTCTGATGAAGATTTAATTTCCTCATGTTTACCATATCTGAGTAATTGAAATTTCTCATCGTTGAACTTCATATTGTTTTCTGCACCCCACTGAAAGGTTCGGTTGATGTCCGCCTGGAGCCTTGCAGTGTCTGCAATGGAAGACACTGTCATGCAGATTCGGGTGTCATCTGCAAAGGAAGACACGGTGCTGTGGCTGACATCCTTGTCTATGTCGGATATGAGGATGAGGAACAAGATGGGAGCGAGTACTGTGCCTTGTGGAACAGAGCTTTTCACCGTAGCTGCCTCGGACTTTACTCTGTTGACGACTACTCTCTGTGTTCTGTTAGTGAGGAAATTATAGATCCATCGACCGACTTTTCCTGTTATTCCTTTAGCACGCATTTTGTGCGCTATTACGCCATGGTCACACTTGTCGAAGGCTTTTGCAAAGTCTGTATATATTACATCTGCATTCTTTTTATCTTCTAGTTCATTTAGGACCTTGTCGTAGTGATCCAATAGTTGAGGACAGACAGGAGCGACTGTTATAAACCCATGTTGCCCTGGGTTGTGTAACTGATGGGTTTCTAGATGGGTGGTGATCTTGCTTCTTAGGACCCTTTCAAAGATTTTTATGATATGGGATGTTAGTGCTATCGGTCTGTAGTTCTTTTGCTGTTGCTTTACTGCCCCCTTTGTGGAGTGGGGCTATGTCTGTTGTTTTTAGTAACTGTGGGACGACCCCCGTGTCCATGCTCCCTCTCCATAGGATGAAAAAGGCTCGTGATAGGGGCTTCTTGCAGTTCTTGATGAACACGGAGTTCCATGAGTCCCGGCCCTGGGGCAGAGTGCATGGGCATGTCATTTATCGCTTGTTCGAAGTCATTTGGCGTCAGGATAACATCGGATAGGCTTGTGTTAAACCAAATTTTGTGGCTCTCTCATAAAAAATTCATTTTGATCTTCGACTCTCTGTCTGGTTAGCGGCTTGCTGAAAACTGAGTCATATTGGGACTTGAGTAGCTCACTCATTTCCTTGCTGTCATCTGTGTAGGACCCATCTTGTTTAAGTAGGGGCCCAATACTGGATGTTGTTCTCGACTTTGATTTGGCATAGGAGAAGAAATACTTTGGGTTTCTTTCGATTTCATTTATGGCTTTTAGTTCTTCCCGCGATTCCTGACTCCTATAAGATTCCTTTAGCTCTCACCTATTTTGATACGCCTATAAATTCCTTTCTTATGTCCTAAAAAATATTTGAGCCTATTATTCATCAATTTTGGATCATTTCTGCTTGATCTAATCCTTGGGTAGAATAGTTTGTTTGTGGGTCGTGTGAAGGACCTGTCTAGTTAGGCCAGTGGACCTACTGCAGTGTTCTCTTTCTTATGAGTCACGCTTCAGGTGTTGCTTTGTGGGATGTGATAGTGAGGTGTGGTCTAGACCCTTTATATGCCTTCCTTTGATGCATTACTTTTATTGTTCCTTGATAATGTGTGTGTTGCAACCCCTGAATGGGTTGCAATGTATATTATGTATATATATATTACATGTACATTACCTTTTCATATAATTTTATATTGCTTATATTTGCGATAATAGCTAAATCGTAAATATATTGCTTTATATTATTATTTGACTTAGTTATGTTGTTAGGTAGGATGTAACACATATATTATGTGCTCAAAGTTCAAGTCTTGATTGTCTAACTATTGTAATTATCGCTTGTGGATCGTTTCCCTGCCGGCTTCTGTTGCTAGGCAGAAACTGTCCACGGAGTTATCACGTGATCGAGGGGAGTGTGGTCCTCACCTCGCCTGAAGTATTCAGTCTGGTCTAGACTCTCTTGGTGGTTGGACGTATTCCTGACAAGTGCCTAAATCTCCCTTATTGGCTCTTTTTGGAAGATCGTCTCTGTCTCATTATCATTCTTGTTAGTTCTGGAGACTCTGTTCACAGAACTTTGGATAGACTTAGTGATTTTCGACGTTGTACTGAGGTTGTGTGTCGCTTAGACACTCTGAGTAACTCAGGTCCTGAGCTGTAGCTTCTGACCTAATTTGTACTGGTATCTGTGCATTGTCACAGTCGGGTATTTTCTTATGCTGAACTTAGATTCAGTAGTATGGGAGTTGTGTGACTTTTGTGGAGGATCTGCTGATGGTCCCTACTAGCTGTCTTTATATTATCTCCTTGTTCCTGATTGTGTCGCAGTTGCTTGTTATATTGTTGTACGGCTTATCAGTTGTTTTATTGTTCAAGCAGACTGTTCTGATTGCCAGTTGGTCAAGAACTTAGTTTATGTGAGGACTTTGTCAGTCACTTGTTTAAGTCTAGTCGAGTTGTGAGACATAGCGAAATACTTAGAGCACTTACACACATACACACAAACTTACTTGTACATATTTGTAATATCTTATTAAATGTTAATGTACCAGACGGTACTTAAGAATTATAAATGTGATATGTGCTTTCAGCACAATACTACTGTACACGAGAGAAGTGATTAATATTATTTTGATTACTGTGATTAATTTAATTTAATTTAATTTAATTTAATTTGATATATGCCTAGACAACTTAATAAATTTATTAAATTTTAATTTCTCTAGTTAGTAGCCTACCAGTTGTAATCCTGAAGCACTATTGAATCATATTGAATTCTAATGGATAATTGGACAAGGATACTGACTAATTGTTACGAAAACCCAGTAACAGGCTGGATGCTAGAAGGGCAGTCCTTTCTAGTATTTACTGGAGATCTCTAAGCTTTCAGAATCGCGTTTTTTGTAACAGTGTAGTCACGAAAGTGCTTGGAATTTCTCTATTCTTTCACAGTGGTTGTTTTGCATATTCTGAAATCACCTGTTTACTGTGATCTTATTGCATATATATATATATATATATATATATATATATATAATATATATATATATATATATATATATATATATATATATATATATATATATATACGTGCTCTTGTGTAAACAGGACAAGGAAAAGCTGTTTATCTGTCACCATGACTTGGTATTCTATGCAGCGAAGTTAGTGTGGAATCAGCAGCAGTGCAGCGTGCGTATACAAGGTTGTATTAAGGTGCTCTAGAAATGTTATTACCCTGAATACATCTTCTTCAACTTGGTGTGTGTGTGTGTGTGGGACAAATTATTTTTTTCACGATATGTATTATGGCATAAATTTTTCATAATCCTATTATAGCTGGAAGTTTCATTGGTTCGGAAATTGCATTGTACATAGGAGGGTGAGCATGTTTTTTTAAGTTCATAGGGTTAAAAGCAATTAGCTTACATTCCATTTTTAATCAGTTTTCATATTCATTCATATAGTTAATTTGGACATGATACATTGTTGTACAAGGAATTATAGTAGTTGGGGGTACATGCCAAAAGCCCCTTGCATGCAGAGCATTGTAAGCAGGCTTAAAGTTAACTTAAAATTAACAAGCAATGAAAGGTTCAGTGTTAAAAATTACAGTAAACAATTTACAATATGAAGTACAATTGATTATTTGAAACAATGAAATTTGAACATTTCGATATTGAAGCATTATGGTTGTACAAATTTGTCGCATTACAATTATATAACAAACAAGATGATCAATTTACTATATGTCTTGAAGTTTTAAGATTTAAGTAATTGGGAGAATTATTGGTAATGTTAAATATTGAGTGTTGATTATTTAGTCCTGGGCGAGTAAGAGGTTTTCTAGAAGTCTTAAATTGAGTTTCAGGCCTGGCTACTTTAGTATGTTCTGGTAATGAATTCCAGATTTTGGGACCCTTTATGTGCATAGAGTTTTTACACAGTGTGATATGGACACGGGTACATCAAAAAGAGATCTGTCTTGTGTTATGGTTTTGTGTCCTATTAAGATTGGTGAGGAGAAGTTGGAGTGGAGGGTTTATGTTTGTATTGTTCTATGTATGTAGTAGGCACATGAATAAGTGCGGATGTTCTTTATGGTGAGCAAATTTAGACTTTTGAATAGAGGTGGAGTAGCTGTCATGAGTGGGAATTTGTTATCATTCTAATTGCAGCGTTTTGCTGGGTTATTAGAGGCCTTAAGTGATTTGATGTTGTTGACCTCCATGCATAAATTCCATATGTGATAAGGGTAGATGAGTGAGTGATACAGTGCAAGGAGAGCTGAGTGTGGAACATAATACCGTATCTTTGATAGTATGCCTGCTAAGAGATTTTCTTGGAAATTTGTTGTATATGTGTTTGGAATTTGAGGCTACTGTCTAGGTGGATTCCTAGGAATTTTCCCTCTGTAAGTCTTGTGATGGGTGATCCATTTCGTGTTATGTTAAGCTGAACATTTGCAGTTCTGGTTCCAAACTGAATGAAATAGGTTTTGTTAGTATTTATTCGTCATCATCCAGGTAGAGATTTTCTGCAATTCAGCATTGACAGTGTTGGCAAGTATGGCTGGGTTTGGGTGTGAGAAGACGTATGTAGTGTCATCTGCAAATAATATGGGTTTGAGTAGTTGTGATGCATTCGGTAGGTCATTGATGAAGATGAGAAAGAGGAGTGGTCCCAGGACACTTCCCTGTGGGACTCCTACTGTGATTGGTTGTGTGGAAGAGTTTGCACCATTTGCGCACACGTATTGGCTTCTGTTACTAAGGTATGACTTTAGTTAGTTGAAGGAGTGGCCTCTTATACCATAGTGTGTTAATTTAGTGTGCAGCAATTCATGGTCGACTGTATCAAAAGCTTTACGTAAGTCAATGAAAATTCCCAGTGGGACTTATTTCTTCTCGAAAGCGGTATATATTAGCTCTAGCATGTGTATAATAGCATCATTTGTTATTTTATTATTCCTGAATCCGAATTGACAGGGGTTTAGTATGTTGTTTGAAATGAGTTAGGAACGGATCCGTTTATAAATTAAATTTTCATAGATTTTGGAGAGTAGTGGTAAGTTAGATATTGATATATAATTATTCAAGTCTGCTTGATCACCTCCTTTGTGGATCGGGTTAACCCTCACTATTTTGAGAACTGCTGGGAAGGTGGAGAATTCAATGGATTTGTTAAAGAGTGTTGCAATAATTGATGACAGTACTTGTGAAGCTTTTTGTACATAAAAGTAGGCAAGTTGTTTATGTCTCCTGCCTTGTTCTTAAGGGTGTTGATGATGAGCGAGACCTCTGTTGGGTTGGTTGCAGCTAGAAATAGTGTATGCGGGTAGGTGCCTGTGAGATAGTCTGATGGACGGGTGTTTGAGCTTTGGATTTTGCTTGCTAGATTCTTTCCTATGGTGGAGAAGAAAACATTGAATCTGATTGCTCTTTCAGTTGGTAGGAGTAGGGGTTCGTCTGAGTTTGTTAATTTGATTGTTTTATTTTTGGATATCCTTTTAGTTCCTAGAATTTCAGATAGGGGTTTCCAGGTCTTTTTTATATCACCTCTGATGTTTTGTAATCTGTTTTCATAATAAAACTTTTTAGACCATTTTATCAGGCTGGTAAGGGCTGACGAGTAACGTTTAGACTAGTCTCTAGTTATCTGACCCATTCTGTACTGTCTTTCATATTGGTGCTTTGCGTTAATGGATTTGAGGATGGTGGGTGTTAGCCAGGACTATTTAGTCTCTTTGCTGTGAGCTGTTTAGTGTTTTACGGCAATGCTTGTTATAGAGATAGTGGGTTCTTTTTATAAAATTATTAATACATTCATTAGTGTCTGTATATGTTTCAAGCTGTGGTGGATTATACATCACTGCAATGACCACCTTGTGCTCCCCTGAAGTGTACCTACTATGTAGTCCCTTTCTCCAGTCTCGTCTATGCCCCCCATTTCCTCGAATTTCCGTCGTTTTTTTACGAGCAGTGCAACCCTCCTCCCCCTCTGCCCTTTCTATCTTTCCTCATGATCTGATATCCTGGTGGGAAGATTGCATCTGTTATTGTCTCAGTGATTTTTGTTTCTGTAACTGCTATGATGTCTGGGGACTTCTTATTGATTCTTTCTTGCCACTCCTCATATTTATTCCTTAATCCATCCGCATTTGTGTACCAAACCTTCAACTTCTGTTCTAATACTGTAACTGTGGTCCTGGGGGAATACTGGGGTTGGGAGAGCAGGAGCCATGGTGGGGCCTGTGGGAGGTTGAAGTGGAGGTGGAGGAAGAGCTCCCATAGGGGGTTGCTGTAGGGGTAGGGTTCGTGGTGCGTGGGGTGGGAACAGAGGGATCGGTGTGTGATTATTGGTTTAGATTGTTCAATTGCCTTGGGGGTGTTGTGGTTGGAGTCCTTCTGCAGGTGTTTCTGGGGGGGTGTGCTTGCCCTTCCACCTGTGCCTGGGTTATTCTGCTCTTCTTTGTCATTTCCTCCCATTCCTACTTTCGTTTTTGCACTCTGTCTTTCTGTATCATCCTTTCCTCCTGTGTTCTGTCTCGATCGAGGTACACATTCTTGAACTCCTGTTTGCCTCTCAGCTGTACTTTCTCCTGCAGGATCATGGCTCGAGTTCGATTCTGCCTTGAAAATTACTTTGAGAGGCCGTTTCCTTCTCTTTGTGAACCACCTGATTCTCCGAAAATTTGCCACCTGGGCCATGTCTCCCTCGCCTATCACCTTCATGATACCTTCAATCGCTTTTTTCTCCTCCTGTTTTCTTTCATCATAGGTTTCCCCTTCAGCTTCCTCTAGCCCATAGGCAAAAATTGATCTCTCCCTTTCCTCCTCCCACTGTGACTCCCATTGCATCCTCTGAGGTGTTTTAGTTCCTTTCCGTGGAGTGTTCCTTCCTTCAATCCTTCCCTAACTGTGGCCCCTATGCTCATTGGTTTGTCCTTCCTGCTCACCTGTTCATGGCCCCCACAAGTGTCTGGTAAAGTCCCTTCATATGTCCTAGTTCCTTCAATGTCTTCCGACCTCTCATACTTTCCTAATGTGCTCCCTGTCTTTGTTTTGTGCATGTGTGCATATGTGTGTACTCACCTATTTGTACTCACCTATTTGTGGTTGCAGGGGTCGAGTCACAGCTCCTGGCCCCGCCTCTTCGCTGATTGCTACTAGGTCCTCTCTCTCCCTGCCCCATGAGCTCTATCATACCTCGCCTTAAAACTATGTATGGTTCCTGCCTCCACCACATCACTTTCTAGGCTATTCCATGGCCTGACTACTCTATGACTGAAGAAATACTTCCTAACATCCCTTTGATTCATCTGAGTCTTCAACTTCCAATTGTGACCTCTTGTGTCTGTGTCCCATCTCTGGAACATCCCGTCTTTGTCCACCTCGTCTATTCCGCGCAGTATTTTATATGTCGTTATCATGTCTCCCCTGACCCTCCTGGCCTCCAGTGTCGTCAGGCCGATTTCCCTCAACCTTTCTTCATAGGACAATCCCGTAGCTCTGGGACTAGTCTTGTTGCAAACCTTTGCACTTTCTCTAATTTCTTGACGTGCTTGACTAGGTGTGGATTCCAAACTGGTGCTGCATACTCCAGTATGGGCCTGACGTAGATGGTGTACAGAGTCTTAAACGAATCCTTACTGAGGTATCGGAACGCTATCCGTAGGTTTGCCAGGCGCCCGTATGCTGCAGCAGTTATCTGATTGATGTGCGCCTCAGGAGATATGCTCGGTGTTGTACTCACCCCCAGATCTTTTTCCTTGAGTGAGGTTTGCAGTCTTTGGCCATCTAAACTATATTGTGTCTGCGGTCTTCTTTGCCCTTCCCCAATCTTCATGACTTTGCATTTGGCAGGGTTAAATTCAAGGAGCCAGTTGCTGGACCAGGCTTGTAGCCTGTCCAGATCTCTTTGTAGTCCTGCCTGATCCTCGTCCGATTCGATTCTTCTCATTAACTTCACATCGTCTGCAAACAAGGACACTTCTGAGTCTATCCCTTGTGTATGTGTGTATGTGTGTATGTGAGTGCGTGTGTGTGTATGAGTGTGTGAGTGCATGTGTGTGTGTGTGTGTGTGTGTGTGTGTGTGTGTGTGTGTGTGTGTGTGTGTGTGTTTACCATTTTGTCCTAGGCACATGTCGATTAGACACTAGACCTGTTGTATGTGTGTGTGTGTGTGTGTGTGTGTGTGTGTGT